TCTACCCGTCATCAGGTTAGTTTCACTGTGTAGAGGACTAAATGTGGTGCCTTTTAAATTGAGATTTGAAGTCTCTGCTAGGGGACCATGTTCCAGACCCTGACGTAAAGGTTGACAGAATTAGATGAAATGGCCTTTTTTGTAGAAGCATTTTAATCAGGGCAGGCACGCACAGTTCCCAGAGTACCCTTTGCTGCCTATGTTGAGAGAGACCAGCTCTGAGCTGTAGATGCTGTGTCAGGAGACGTGACCTTGCGGGCACAGACGTTTGCCTTTGGGGTTCCTTGACCTGTGTCGTGAAGCTCAGGACCCCACCGTGTGCATTTTAGGGACCGCTGGAACACTGTCTTCCCCTGAAGGGAGGCACCACCCTGCTCCCATCAGATTTTCCCAGCTGTTGACACGTGACCCCTGTAGCAAAACATCGAAGAATCACAGATCATCCACGTGGGTGACTGTATCAAAATTACATTATCCTTCAGCTGAGTTTATTTTTGTAATGTCTGTTACAACGTTGAAGGGCCCTTGCCCTTTAGCAATGCGGTGTGATTACCTGGGTGTGATTTAAACGTGGGCTGGCTCTGCTCTCAACAGTTCTGAGCGGCCTGGAGGACGCCCAAAGGCCGTGGCGTGTGCAAACAGTGCGCTCTAGTGGAGAACAGCAGGCCGTCCACAGAGAAGGAGGCTGGCTCTCGTTTCTGTTAAAAAAAACTCATAATGACTTCAGCGTCCTCTCTGGCAGATGAAGCCTAGTCTCTTTTGGCAGATCCTTGAGCAAAAGGTCTTGGTGTGAGCTGTGACTCAAGAATGAGCAAGCAGGTGTGAACACTTTCAAATATGACATGCTTTCTAAGGAGCTTAGCAGTCAGTCATTTTCATTTCCCATTTAATCCACAGTAATTTTGAGGACAATGTGTCAAGTGGAATTATTATTGCCTAATATGTCTTATAATATATGAATCCTTTTACTCAGGAGTCGAGTTTTCCTGCATCAGAGGGTAACATTCGAGCCTCGGGAGGTCTTCCCTCTCCAGCCCACTCGTCCTCCTCACTTCTGGCTTCCGCCCTGTTCTCTCCTGATTCCGATCTCCCTGAAGGGTGGTGTCTGCAGCACGATGCCTGACACACACACAGGTGCCATAAATACTTGTTAGATCTAGAAATGGAAAAAGGAACAAGTTCTTAAAATTAGGTTAATTTTACAGAAAGAAATACTTAGGAAACAAAACCGATGACCCCCGTCCTCTCCCCTTGCCCTGCAGGCAGAAGCCTCGGGTGCTTCGGGCTGCTCGGCCTGGGCAGCCACCACGAGGGAGGGTCAAGCTACTCTCCTTCACATCCTGGGTGGTACCACACTGCGCCAGGGGCACCCAGGGCGGGTATAGGAATCCTCGTTCCACGCTGAATACCATCTCCTGAGTGACTGGTGTCACTCTTGTGTTTTATTCGCTGTTGCATTTTGACTCCTGAGTTAGGATTTTGTTATGTTACTAAATCCCTATTCGGAAGAATTTTCTTCTGATAGAATGCTTAGTCTGCCTAAGGATTTTTGTGTGTGTGTGTGAGGAAGACTGGCCCTGAGCTAGCATCTATTGCCAATCCTCTTCCTTTTTTTTTTTCCCCTTTTTCTCCCCAAAGCCCCAGTAGATAGCTGTATGTCATAGTTGCACATTCTTCTAGTTGCTGTATGTGGGACGCGGCCTCAGCATGGCCGGAGAAGCGGTGTGTCGGTGCGCGCCCGGGATCCGAACCCGGGGCCGCCAGTAGCCGAGCCTGCACACTTAACCGCTAAGCCACGGGGCCGGCCCCTGCCTAAGGATTCTGAGAAACTGTTGGAATTTTAAACCCACTTTAATCAATAATGTGAGTAAAAATGATTAAGTGCTGAAGGATCTTGAGAGGGAATACATTGAAAGTACAGCAAAGACCTACTGTCGCCTGAGAGAACATACTTCAACCGGGGTCCTTAGCTAGTCAGTCTCCGGTGGACGCTGGACACTGCTCCCAACTCCGTCGGCTGTCTTTCTCATTGCCCAGGCAGCCTGCCCGTGTCTGCACTGCTCTCCTCAAAGTCCTGTCCCTCATCCCATCCATGGAAAACACACAGGCCTGTAGGAATAAACTGCCTCTGAATGACCTCCCTCCCCTCCCAGCCCCACAAACACCCTCTCACACACACACACACGCGCACACACACACGCACACACACATGCACATGTGGGCTCTCGAGAGCTCCTCCATCTGTCTCCTGACTTCCGGTCCCACACACGGAGGAGGGACCCTCCAATATTGGTGAAGACACAGAGTGAGCCTTCCTCACCTATTTCAGCTCTGCAATGTCCACTTCTCTGTAGGAGCATCTCCCCAGGCCAGGGACAACGTCTCACTTCACATTTTTTTCCAGCCACTTCTTGTGACCAATGAGTTATTTAGGTCTGTGGCCTGTCTGCTCCCGTTTAATGTGCAGATCTCATCAAGTTAAAGAGTTTCTGTCCTGAACCCGTTATTTCAGCAGAAATATGCATCACGACACTTAGGCAAGAAAAACTGTGCGGTTGCACGATTCTGTGTCTGTAAAATAGTGGTTTGGAAGTGCAGACAGGGGTCTCAGAGAACGAGACTGCAGGACCCCCGGGGGAGGCGAGGCCTCTTCGTCTCTGACGTGCTGTGACATCTTCATCCTTGTCTTCACTTTCCTGTCACACATGGTAAACTTCAACTTTCTTTTTAAATAATCATGAAAGTTTTGCAGGGGAAAGATTCTTCCATCAAACTTACTGATCCAGGCAATCTTTATAATCTTAATACTCACAGTAACAATGGCTTGATTTGCCAACGCTGTTTTGTAGAAGACAGTTTATTTCACCTTTTAAACCAGGCTTTAAAGTGTATTATCTCAACTTTAAAAAATTTACCACTCCATCCTCACAATTCACAGAGTGCTAAATGTACTGGGGGCAGAAATTAACAGAAAAAGCAAATTAATAGAAACAACACCTATTCTAGCCAAAAACTGTATAAGGGAGGGCCTTAGGTACTTAGCTATTAGGTTCAGAATAGAGTGAAAGTACTTCCAGGTGAACGAGCGAGACTCAAAGACCGTACGTGATAAAGCATTATGCATTTATTAGGTACGGGGAGCAGCCCCGGCGGGCTAGTGGGGCAGCCCAGGTTCCTGTCCCGGTCAGGGGACCACACCACCGGCCTGTCGGTCGTCATACTGTGTCAGCTGCATGTGGCCATGATGCTGAAAGCTCTTCCACTGGGATTTCAAATGCCAGCAGGGTCCCCCATGGTGGATGGGTTTCATGGAGCTTCCAGACTGAGACAGACTCAGAAGGACCTGGCCACCCACTTCTGAAAATACTGGCCATGAAAACCCTGTGAATAGCAGTGGAGCATTGTCTAATACAGCGCTGGGATGTGAGAGGATGGTGCAAAGAGACCAGGCAGGGTTCCCTCCACTGTCCACAGGGTCACTGGGAGTCAAGCTCCAACACAAAGGCACGGAGGGAGATCTTATGTACTTTATTATTTGGGCAGATTGAGTCCAAGAGCTTGGTTGATATTTTGGAAGCATGTGCCCAGAGACGTTATTAAAGTACTTAGCTCCCCTATCAAATGTGAAATCCTTGAGAGCACAGGGACATTCGCAGTAAATCTTGTTTAAGAAGTGGTGACGCCAAGATTTCTAATTTCTAATTTACATCTGTCCTGCCGTATATGACCTGTAGCGTGTGCAGTGAAACAACAATTTGCCCTAAAAATGAAAGGCTACACTTCTCTGTGTGTGACATAAATCCCCAAGCCTGGCTCTCCATCCTCTGCTGGGACGCAGTGAAGTCTGGGTGGGGAGGGTGTCTCATGAAATCCTTAATATGGAGTCACAGCAGTGTCCCTGAAATATGTTTAATCGTCCACATGATCCAGTAGTTTTATCCTCGCAGTGGGAGGGTTTTGCACAAAATCAAAGGGCATTAGAATGTCAAGAGCCTCAAAACACAATAATTAGTAAAATTATTAAAACATGGCTTAAGCATGATTATTTGACCCCACACTTTTTTTTCTAAGTCATTATTATCCCTCAGAATTCTAAACTGTAATTCAGTAAAGTAAACGGTGAGCTCCTTGCGGACAAGGAGCAGGTTTTACACTGTCTGTATTCTTATTGCCATCAAGGTGGTTGGTGCACACGAGACTTAACGAGGGCTTAATCTCTCCCCCGTCCCCACTCGCCGTTGGCGGCAGAGTTCATGGTGGGCATGGCGATAGTCTAGAAGGAGGTGATGGTATCCTTGAACTGGGGGCTTCCCGAGAAGTTAGAAATACAACATTTTAGAGTTGAGAGGAACCTTAGAGCAATGGTTCCCAAACGTAATTTCACATTATGCTCACCTAGGGAAACCTCAACATTTCTAGATATTCTTCTAGATAGAAAATATTCTAGAGTTCAACCCCAAAATTTAGCCTCGATAGCTCTGGGGCAGAGTTGAGGAGATAAATAGATATAGATATACACACATTATAGATATATATCAATATATACACATGCATATATATTAAAACATATATTTAAATGCATATATTTAAATATGTGTATTTAAATGCCTGTGTATATTCAAATATTTATTCTTGAATTACTCTATTTATATATTTAAACTACTCATGTTGGAGCCATGATCTTAGTGTCCTGGTCCAAACCCCAGGGACCTTTCTGGACGATGCAGCTAGCAGCAGAGCCTCTGATGTGAAAGCATTGGTCACAGCCCTTAACAGAAGCAAAGCTCTGAGCTGGAACCACTCAGGAATTGCAAACCTGGAAACTCTTCCAATGATGATTGAAAACCAATTCCACTTTCCACCCCACAGCACCCAGCAGGTCTCACCTGCTCACGTAACACTGACTCCTGTGGCTAGATTACTACTGGAATTATGAAGATCACGAGATGTAGACGCTGGAGGGCGCCCTCCTTAGTGTTTGCAGATGAAGGAGCTGAGACGAAGTTAACTCACTTCTTTACAAAGAACATGAGTCCCCAGGGAGCCTTCAGCCGGTACTAGGTTGTTCAATGATAGAATCGTGGCTGGAGTCGTGGCTAGCTGTAGATTATTCCACAATTTGGTTTAACTCAGTGGTTTTCAGCTGTGCCTCACGGGGCCCTGGGGAGAGGTGGGCTGGGGGCTGGGCCTTCTTGGACCCCCAGTGAGCCTAGCTCTGCAGACACTATTCTGCCTATTAGTATTCTGGGAAAGACTTTCTTTTATTTCTTAACCAGGAGCCCCCAGTTTTGAACAGAGTTTGAAGTCTGCCAATGTAATTGTTTCCTCAAATAGGCTGCTCAGGGCTATCCCTTCAGATGGACTCAGAGACCTGCCGTGAACACAGGTCACGGATGTCCTGGAACACGTGTCTCCTCGTGCATTGGCAGTTCTGTGCAGATCGTGTGCATTACCCTGTCTGGGAGCATTTTTCACAAGACTCTGTAACGGTGAGGTGGTGGAGCTGGACCACATTCTACCCAGCAATCCCTCCCTTCAGTGTATCTGAGACATCTTTAGAATTTCCTGGGGCTGTTTATAATGAATATAAATCCAAAAATAATTCCTAGAAAAGCTGTTACTTACTCTCAGATACATTTTTCATTGGCCGCTTGGAAACCAGATTGCAGTACAAAAGTGTCTGATAGCCTCTCTTGAAAATTCTTTGATAAAGTTTTATAATTCTTTACAAATTACCTCTGATATGTTATGTATCATTTATGCTTAGAAGTTAATTATTCTGGGTTTCTTTAATCCTTATAACCCATTCTAAAGGCTGTATTTTACCTTATCTTTATAATTAAAGTCTCCAATCACCTTTTCCTGAGAGTAATACAGTTTTTTTTGATATTCCCAAAGAAATCAGTAGTGTTCAGCAAAAACCTCTGTCCAGGAGGACTTTGAACCAATAGGTGTCTAAGTGTTTTAATCTGAGAGAGGAAAATCAGGACCAGGAACGGGACTGTTTCCTGCAGTGAGGCTCCTTCAAGGCTCCTCAAGCCTCCTTTAGGCTCCTTAAGGCTCCTCAAGGCTCCTCAAAGCTGGCGACAGACTCCCAGGGCTTCTTCTCCCACTGTGCTGCAGCCTGCCAGCCACAGACGGTCACATACACAGCAATTCATACGTGACTTACCTTCAGTGCCAGGTAGGAAGTGTCACTATACATTCTTTCCCTCTCCTCCACCTCCCCCCCACCCTCCTTCCTGATGTGTAACAGTCTTGAAGAGTAGAAGGGGAGAACCTGGAATAAGTAGGAAGGAATCTTATCTGAGATACAGACTGTCCCATCACAATAATCATGGTGACAGCGAGCACTTACTGAGCACTTACTGCATTCCGGGCTCTGTTCCAAACGCTTTCCGTGTACAGCCTGAGATGCTTGGGACGATCCTACTGTTATGATCCCTTTTTACAGGAGAGGAAACCATGGCCCCACGAGGTTACGTCACCTGCTCAAGGTCACCTGGCTGGTGTGGAGCCGTGAAAGGACTACAGGTGGTCTGGCTCCAGACCCCAGGCTGTCAACCACTATGCATACATTTCCAGGGCCTTAAATTCCTACCCAAATTTGAAGCCTGATTTTTAACTTAAAGTGTCTTGCTTACAGTCGACACACAATCGACATTTTTTGCATTGGTTGGATTTTGGGTGAAATTTTCTTGACTAAAATATAAGCAAAAAGCTTAAGCACTGGAAAATAAAGGGAGAAGCAGCAGCGCCCCTGACTGGGTGTTAGCTTGACCTCCTGGACGTGGTGACACATGGCTGTCATCCTGATCCATCTGTGAGGGGCGTCTGTACAACAAGCAACACTATTTGACCCCAGTTTTCCAATTTAGGCTCAGACAGGCCCTAGAAAGGCCCTCCCTTGGCAGAGAGAGACAGCCAATCGAGTCTGCCTTCCACCAGAGTTATGCTGGAGACCTCGGGGGGGTCCATCCATCCCTGAACTGGACACATAGTCTAGGAATAGTCATCATTTCTCATCTGTCGCATAGAGCCAGGTATTTAACTCTTGGACATGTAAAGTTTCAGACAGTCAGTAAGGGGAACACTAAATGGATTAAGGGTTGCTTTGTCATTATTCTAACAAGAATCACCTTATTCCGAATGCTTTTCACTCTTTCCCCTACTTTCTCTGTTCCATTAAAGCCATTTGTACCACAAGGACCATTGTCAGTGTTTATAAACTCTCCCAAGTTGACTGTTAGTACATTATTTTTTCAGTATTCAGCCCCTAAAGCAATAACTGGGCAATCTGAATTTTTTCCACATTCTAGATTCTTTGGTGACAGATGCACAAGAACATAATACATTGAAAGAAAAGCCTTAGATTTCCTGACTACCCTGTAGCTGCTTTTCCCAGATCTGGTGGATAATTTTATCCATTGTGCTTTATTCTCAGTAGAACCTGTGGGGTTGTTTTCAGGATACAGTCAGAGTAATTGTTCAAAACCAAGCTGGGGGCCAACCCAAGGGCATTCTCCTGGGAACAGTTTGGCTAAAATATACAAAAGATCTCTTATCAAAAATATTTTTTCTTAGACATAAAGATAAATGAGGAAAGGTTTGACATGAGATAAAAATAACAACAAAATAAGTCAGTGAGTAAAGGCCCTATGTGGTCTTAGTGCATGCTTAGATGGCAAATAAATCGTGTGTCCCGGCCTGTCTGTTCATGCTAATTTTATGGTAGGATGATATATAGGGTGCCTTCTGCACCCTGAAAGGGCGCCCTACACCCTTCCTTTCTCAGGAAGGTAGTATTGACCGTGAGGCAGGACAAAATATTGGTAAATACGAGACCTCAATGTTTCTCCAGCCCTTACTAATTTTTTCAATTTTTAATGGACTATACAAATAATACGTTCTTACTGCAGAGATTTTGAAAGCATATTTAAGCCAAAACAAAACATAGAAATTAGTTCACAGTCAGCCCCACCAGCGGAGCTAACCATTAACGTTCTGTGCACGCCCCTCTGGACTTTCTCTTACCCACACACCTCCGTAGTGGCCACAGGGTTCTCAGGGCACTGACAGCGGTTCTCAGGGCAGCGGGAGCCGTGGCAGCTACAGTGCCGGGTCAGCAACAGCGACGACAGGAGAGCTTGTGCCCAGGACACCGTGACCGCGGGGAGTGGAGGTGATCGCTGCAGCCGTGCTGAAGGTGTCTGATGGCAGCAAAAGTGTTAGTAATGCCAGTTGTCACATGCAGGACACACATTACCTCGACTAATCCTCACGACAGTCCCCTGAAGCCGGCGTGCCCGCTGAAGCCCCATTTCACAGATGAGGAACTGAGATATGCCCCGGCGAAGTCACTTGCCCAAGCTCACTCCATCTTCAGGGAAGAACCTGAATTTGAACCCGGGAGTCTGGCTCCATGGGCCCCTCTTAACCACGACACGGGTGGTACAGAGAAGTAGCGTGAATTCTCCAGTGCAGTGTGGGGAGCGCTCTGCAGTTTATGTATACTCACGTAATGAACGAACGAATTCTGAGAGTGATTCTGAAATTGGAAGAACAGAATAAGAGGATATGAAGTAACTTTAAAAAAAAAACATCTTTTACAACTAATTAGGGTCATTTTTTACAATGTTCAACTTAACTGTCAAAGATAGTATGTTTTGTAAACTTTCTTGCTCCTCTATTTCATTTTTCCTCAACAATTTGCCCCCTTCCTTTGTATGCTTGTCTAGATTTTAGGGCATTTGGCTGTGAATTCTTAAGATATAAAAAGGCAAGTTAACCATGCTGTTCGAGTTGTCATAATCCTCAGTTTATAGACGTGCCTCAGTATATTTAGATGCTAAGTAAGGATGAGTAAAACCAATAAGAAGTCAAATTCAGAATCCATACTGACAGCAAATTGAGTTGAGCTGGACCGAGCACAAACCACTCCAGTGAGAATGCTGCCTGACGTCGATGGCAACAGCAGTCAGGGGACATGAAAAGACTTAAAAACAAACAGAAGAGGCAAATGTTGAGGCTCTGGTTCTATTTTGGTTCTGTTTTATCTTCTATAATTCCATATTTTGAAAGTTTAGGTTACTACTTATATTGGTACACTTGAGACTGTCCTTATAAAAAAGATCCCCTCTGCCCCCAGAAAGCTATAAATCAAGAGTGTAAAAACTCGACAAAAAATCACTCCAATGCATTAGCAAAATTTTATCTTTCGAATGACGAGAAATATTGAGTCTTGAGCAAAATATACGACCCCTGACTTCAGTTTGAATCTTTGTGTCCTTTTAAATGATTTCAGACGGCCAGCAATAGCAAAACTAGATGAGGTAAAATACACTTTAATTATAAAATAACTTTAAAAAATGCCCTCAAAAGTTATCTTGGGCCTGTTCTGCTCAGGGTTTCCAGCTGAAGCTCTGTGATCCAACTTGATTTAATTTCCAAGCCTCTTATCTGTAGTTTATTCTTGTTCCTGCAGTTGCTACTGGCTTTAACTTGTACACAGGAAGCCAGTGCCCATCAATTCTGTTCCCAAGGTGACAGGAAACTCGAGTTGGTCAGAGGTTGATTGTGCTTGCAGTTCATGCCCCACCCATCACATTTTCTTCCCTTTTGGCTGAACTTAAGACAAATTAATCAGTAGCCGACATCTGGCAGACAGTTTTGGTATCTTCTCAGAGATTTGTTGACCTGCACAGTTAAAAGGTAAAAATTCAGTTCATGAAGCTTATAGACACTAAATAGAAATGCTGCCGAGAATCCCTCGAGAGGACTTGGATGGAAGGCCCATCTTCTGGCTTTTTGGTTGGAGATGTGAATTTGCTTGAGTAATGGAACATCTGTTGAATGAATATCTCACCTTTTTTTACGATGGTGAGCGGTTTACCTCACCCTATTGTAAATTCCAGATACAAAATGTGTCGCAGGGGCAAGGAAGGGCTCAGAGAATGCTAAGCTTTTTAACAGATCCCTGCTTTTATGCTTGATTTTAGCCACTTGCAGATTCTCTTCATAGTGAGTCCGATTCCACATAAACATATCCCTGGTCACTGAACTCTCTGAGAGCAAATCTTGGTACCCAGAACACAACAGATACGATAACCTGTAATTAAAAGCTAAGTGTAGAATCAGTCCAGATGACCTTCCCATCCCTCAGAGCCATGCTTCCCTGGAGCCTCCTCTTTCAAACTCACAGTTTACGACCCTATAAAAAGAAAAATGACAAACTCTCTACTAGCCTTGTGAACTGTCTTCAGAAATCATTAGTTTTAAAGATATTGGCACTAAAATGTATGTCTGATTGTATCAGATCTAGTAATAGTAGAGATCATGAGAAATGTACAAAAAATGTTTTTTTCTGCATGGGAAGACGAAGGAAGGTAACAGTCAGGAAGGTGAGATTAAGATAAACCTAAAAAGGGCAGGTATGTTGGACCGGATAGGCTTTTCCTGTTCCTAAAATGTCTTGTATTCTTGCACAGGAAAAGCATTCTTATTCACCCAAGGCATTTGCAAGTCCTCAGCACCAGACCTAAAAGCACGCTGGGTTGTGGTAAGAAGGCAGGAAAGCAATGGGTGGGAGAGGAAGCATCCACAGTGGGTCCATGACCAGGACTAATTTCCAAAGGGCACAAGAGTGTTTAGCCATTTATTCATCTATATCTCCTTTATTCTGAGAACAAACTCTGCTAGTTTGTTCTTTCTTAGTATTTTCCACACCAAAATTTGCAGACATTTAAAATTGGGGTTGACTCAGCAATAGAGTCATAAGAATGGGTGAGCATGCTCATGGAGAGTTCGCTGCCCTTGCAGACGCTGCCAACTCCAGTATCCCCTAAATACCAGATGTACCAGCAGGGGCAGTTGGGATCCACTTATTCTGCTTTTTCAAGTAAGTACCTTCCATAGAGAGGCCAGATCTGTGAAACAAAGATTAAATGCTAGAAAAAGTTTGCAGTGTTTTGAATCCTAATCACTTTGCAGAGCCATAATCCTGGTTTTACCAACAGCCAAATAGCAGAAAAGCCCAAGACCATAAATGAGTATTTTTAAGCAGTCTGGGAGACACAGCATCTCCAAGGTCCCATGGGAAATCTGGTGGTGACCCCAAATAGAATCCTAAAATGCATTTGAGGGGCATTTAATAAACTTTCCCCCTCATAACTGTTCCCCTTTAGATTTGCATGACAATCTGTTTGGATGGGTGTGACCACTGCATGCCTGCCCTTCTTTCCACCTGCAGTGCCATCACAGTGAAAACTGGTGTGCCCAGGCGGATGGCTGCCAACTGTTATTCACAATAGTGGTGGGTGCCCCCGGTGAGATGCTGGCCAGGACAGGCGGGTGTCCGTCCCTGGACAGCAGTGTTACCGTATGCACTGTGGCCTGACTGACTGTGATCAGGTGTTCCCGTGGGTCTCCAGCATCATTTCTAACCTGCAGAGCTGAGAGCTTCAGGATGTCTGTCAGCAGCGTTAAGAGCGAGCTCTTGTAGGGCAGTAGAGATAACAATGGGTGAATGTCGGCAGCGCATTTCTTTAGGGGACATATGGCAAGTTTGCTTTTCTGGACGGTCTTGTTTACTTAACACATGTATTCTGAACAACTAAACTCTCTTGGCGTGCTCAGACTAGAGAGCGTTACTGCTCTGGAGTGCCTCTCTGTAATGCAAACCTGTCAATGAGGAACCCAACCTGAGCTTTAACCTGAACCCAGATGGGGACAGAGATAAGCGGGTGGGGGAAATAAGCTCACTTACTGGGCATCTTTAAATATAGGGTAAGATCCCAAGGTGTACATTGGAGCCAACAAGGAAAATGTCCCAGGGTAACCGCTCTTCTGCGCGGAGAGGGAGGAGCTGGGGAAGCCGTGACTGTCTCCGGGGGTCCCCAGCGGCTGCCCTGTGCCGGGCACCGCGCAAGACGCACTACAGCCAGTCATGCCATTCCCTCCTCACCTCGCGTCGGGGAGACGGATCTTATCATCTCAGCTGTGCGCTGAGGGCCCTGAGACACAGGCGTCCAGGTGAACTCCAGCCCGTGGGCTGCGCAGCTCGTGCTCTGTCCTGTTCCTGCCTCCCCCGGGGCCCGAGGCACCCCGTAGCCCTCCTGCTTTCCCCTCTTCTGCACTCAGACTCGGACTGCTTTCAGTTCGCGGGTGGAGCAGTGGAAGCCTTGTAACATAAAGGGACTGTTCGGGCCCCCGTGAGCCGCCCTGGAGGCGAGCGGCCCCGTGAGCCGCCCTGGAGGCGAGCGGCGGTGCTGCCGTCCGCCGCTAGGTGGCGCCGGCGCGCCGCGACAGGTGGGGCAGACAGGTGCGAGCGGGCGGCTGCGCTCGGTCCGGGGCCGTGCGGCCGGCGGCCCCGCGTCCTCGGAAACCCTGCTGGAGATATGCGTTGTTCCCAGGTCGAGATTTAAGGCCGAATCAGATAAGCAAGGAGAGGCCCCGGAAAGAGCCTGAAGCTGCCGGGAGCCGCGGACGGGCCTCGTCCCCGCAGACGCTGGGGGGCGCCGGCGCGGCCGCAGGTGCGCGGGCTCGGCTCCGGCGCGGCCCGGGCGAGGGTCCTCGTCCACGCCGGCGTCTTCCTCGTTAGCGGTTACACGGACTCCTGCTGCACGGAAGCGGGAGAATGTGGGCGCTTGAACCTTTGCAGTTTTCATTCTAAAAAAGAAAGGACTTGTCCTCTTGTGTCCCCCCCCCCCCCCCCGCCCCCAACACAATACTGCAGTCGAGTCCGGAGTTTTGTTGGCTCCACTAAGACTCGGGTTGCGAAGGGACTCCTGTGCGGACATTGGCTGCGGAAAGGCCCTCAGAGGAGCCGGGAGCGCGCGGGGCCGGCCCAGGGCTGCGGCCGGTGGAGGCCGCGAGTTGGCAGGACATTAGAAAGCTGATTCTAGGAGGGCAGGCTGAGCCGGCCCTCCTGTCAGCTGCTTTCCTGCACAGGATGCGGGGTGATTCCTGTCCTGACCAGATACTGATTACTTAGGGCTTAGCCCACGGGTTCTTGTCGGAAACGATTTCCGCAGTGTATTTTGACTTGCTGAGGTCTGAAGAACTTTCGGAATGTGTTAGGTGTGGACCTGAACTCCAGGAACCCGGCGGTGGGGGTCGGTTAATGAACTCCGTCCGTTTGAACAGAGTGGCTTAAGTGCCTCGCTTTTATCTCATTCACGGTTCTCCGAATGCCCTCATCTGACGCGGAGCATTATTGGTGGGAAATGTGTGCGTTGATAATTGAGACAAATGAAAGTTTAAAAAGTACAAAGGACTTGTCTTCAAATCGTTTTATACGATATTTCAAACATATGCAACTTGCTGCAAATATGTTTCAATCTACAAATTTACATATTCTCCTATCTCCCGTTGTAATTGCATTTCTTATGTTATAAGTATTTCACCTTATCTATAATATAGACAGACTCAAAATATTTAAATTGTTGAAGACTATTTTTTAGAGTGAATAAATTTTCTTCACATGAAATACAAAGAATTTATGTAACATTCAAATTTTCATATTCTACCAAATAGTCAACCTAGAATGGTAAGACACAAAACGGGTGTGTGTTTGTACCTGGAGCAGTGGACCGTGAAATATTTTTTAAAAATCTTTCTTAGAAGGACAACTACCAGTGTTAAGGCTTACCTACTTTGTTGTTTCAAATGTCCAACAGTCAAGAAGCAATTCCAAATACCACGAATAATGGTACATCATTACATTTTAATGTAACATTAAAATCAAAATTACAGTTTTTCTAAAACTCATTTTATCCTGGATCTGACAGTTGATTTGAGACCTTTCAAATACTATGGCTATGTGGGATTTTTAAAAAGAAGATTTTACTTTTCATTTCTTAGCATGGATCCATATACATCATTAGGCATCCAAAATCAAAACCACAGGGAGATACCATTTCACACTCACTAGGATTTTTAATCATTGCAGGAACATTTATAACACTTTTCAAAGTGTTGAAAATCTTTGGGTACTTAATGCTTACTTCCCTTCCCACATCTACGAATCTCTGCAGCGCAGAGAAGAAACGCGCGGAGGCATATCGGAGCTGAAATCAGGTCGTTGTGCTCCCCCCGGTGCGGATGCCAGCGTTCTGTGTATACGGGACACGTCCTCTATTTAATGGTTTTGTCCTGAGTTCTGTACCACCTTTGTCAGGATGCCTTAAATGTCCTGTATTCAGCTTTTTAAATTAAATTGCAAAACTTTGGCAGTTAGAGGTATTTTTCAAATCTACCGGGGCGTCCTGTGCTTTATTTGCTAAATCTGGTGACCCTCCACCTTGTCATCCCTTGTTATAATCTTTTGTGGTTGGACTCATTCGAGTATTTCTGACGTCCACTGTTACCGTCAGAAATGACCATTTTCAGAATAAAGTCACCAGAATAGCGTAGAACCACTTCAAAGGTTCCCAGCACAGTTAGTTGGTATTAAAGTCATTCTAGTCTTCCGTCCTCCCTTTACCTGAAAGGTGACAAATACACACGTTTTCCTTGTTCATTGTTGCATCGTTCACAGAAACATGTCTTGGAGATCTAATAAAAACGTCATTATTGGATATCTCAGGGATTAAGAGTTGTCTAGACAAATATTAGGATTTCTGTGTTGAGGACTCTGATGAAAAGAAATAATGAATTAACTTATAACACAACACCTGAAGGAGAATGGTTTGTTAGAGAAACAAGGAATATCCCTGTAGTTGTTGTTCAAAAGCCTGTTTTTACATATTCCACTGCCATCCGCCTTTGAGAAGTGCCATTGAATATAGTAAGATTAGAACATTTTAACTTTGTCTTTACAGTTATAGACGTCATTCAGATGGCAAATTCTTGTTGTGAAAACTTAGTGATTAGCAGTTGCATATGCAGAGGGCAGACTGAAGTGGCTTCCATGACACACAAAAAATGTTATTTTAAACAATCTTTCATGAATAGTGATTATTGCTGATGTGGTAGATGATCTGTTTCAGCATCTCATGTGTGGCCATCTTGTATACCCAAAGCAGTTTCGTGAAGCCACCACACTCATATCTAAGTCTAGATAATTGAGGCAGTGGTCTCAAAGTGGGTGTGTGCCCACGGAATATGCAGAATGGCCCCCTGGGGCGTAGAAACAAAAGATTAGAAAAACCATTTATTTTTATTTTTATCTTGCCCTTTCCTATTTCAAATCTTGTAAATGTTTTATAATTTGCATAATATATAAGTTCAGCAGCAGTACATGTAAATAATTTATGAATAAATAAACTTCAGTGGGAATACGCTTAGTTTTTTTTCCTATAAGGATAAACAATAGAAAAAATTTGAAAATGACTAACAATTCTACCTGAAAATGGGAGATAAGTTTACAGTGCAGACATAGAGGAGTCAATCCAAGTGTTTTCTAGTGTGTCCATAATTCTAAAATTCTAATAACTCTATCCCGTTATAAAGGCTTAGAAACTGAAAGAGGGGGAAATACAAGAGGTAAGGAGGCTGCTGTTTGTAATTCCTAAATAAAAAGAAAATTTCCTTTTACCGTACTTGATAATAGGAGAAGCATATTAACTATACCTCTTATAATTGTCCTTCCAGATACACTTGCACAAATAAACAAAGATATGGTTCAAGAATGTCCATTGTAATATTGTTGGTAGCAGCAAAAAGAATTGGAAATAAATATCTGTCAATAGATATTTATCAATACATGTGTATTATTGTATATTTATTGTTTTTGAAATTTGCATTATTACTCTAATAAGACAAGATTTCCAATATTTAATGTAAAGTGGAAAAAACTTGAAAACTATATGGAATTTTATGATCTAATTTATGTTAAAAACTACACATGTTTATCTTGGTAAATGCATAGATAATTTCTGGAAGGTGCATAAGAACCTGACAATGGTGAGCTCTGAGAAGCAGAAACAGAAGATCAGGGGACAGTAGGAACAAAGAGGAAGGAGGTTCTTTTTCACTTGTCTCTTTCTCTGATATTTGAAAACATCGTAAGTATGTATTAATTTTATAATTGTTAAATTAATATTTTAAAAATTAAAATAAGATATTGCTTTCTCTGAATTAATAGATACGTATAGCATAGATGTGTCTACTCAACCTAAAATGAGGTGGGGCTGGAACAGTAACACATCACCTGAATAATAACATAGGCCAACACAGTCCCCGAGACCAAAAAGATGCCTTTGGTGTCTCCTTTAGTATAACCGAGCAGAGACAAAACCACACTTCAGTCTATGCTGTGAGACACCCCTCAGGTGCCTCTTTATATTGCACTGGCTTCTTTTATTATGATACATTTCATTCTCACGTATAGAGAATCACATTATAAATGTCCATGCTTCTACCATCCAGCTTAATTAATAAAACATTATAAATAAATAGAAACTCTCGTTGCTTTTAGCTAATCTAATTCTCCTCCCTTTCCCTCAAAGATAATCACTATTCTAAATTTGGTGTTTATCATTCCTGTAAATATTTTTATACTTTTCCTTGACATGTATGTATGGACAAACAAAATATAGTATGATTTTGCATAAACTTCGTAGAAATCGTGCCCCACAATATGTATCCTTCTGTCTCACTGGATCAAAGACCTAATTATAAGAGCTAAAACTATAAAACTCATAGAAGAAAACATGGGTGTAAATCTTCATGACCTTGAGTTAGGCAATGATTTCTCAGTTATGATACCAAAAACACAACCAAAGAAAAAACAGACAACTTGGACTTCATCAAAATAAAAAGGTTGGTGCTTCTTAGGAGGCTGTATTACTAGGGTTCTTCAGAGAAACAGAACAAATAGGATGTGTATACACCCCCCCCACACACACACACATATAAACAAGTTTATTATAAGGAACTGGCTCATGTGATTATGGAAGCTGGCAGGTCCCAAGATCTACAGGCAAGCTGGAGAGCTGATGGTATATAGGTCCAGTCCGAAGGCTGGCAGGCTCCAGCCCCAGGAAAAGTCAATGTTTTAGTTCAAGTCCAGAGGCGGGAAAAAATTGATGTCCTAGTTCGAAGACTGTCAGGCAGGAAGAATTCTCTCTAATTTGGCAGTGGAGGGTCAGCTTTTTTGTTCTATTCAGGCCTTCAAGAGATTGGATGAGGTCCACCCACATTATGGAGGGCAATCTGCTTTAGTCAGTCTACCGTTTAAATGTTCATGTCACCCCAAAACACCCAAATAATATTTGATTAAATATCTGGGCACCCCATGGCCCAGTCAAGTTGACACATAAAATTAACCATCACAGATACTATCAAGAAAGTGAAAAGACAACCCACAAAGTGGAACGAAATATTTGCAAATCCTGTATCTGATAAGGGTCTAGTATCTACAATGTATAAATAACTTTTCAACTCAAAAATAAAAAGACAAATAACCCAATTTAAAAATGGGCAAAGAATTTGAATAGACACTTCTCCATAGAAGATATACAAATAGTACAGGAGAAGTTACTCAACATCATTAGTCATTAAGGAAATGCAATCGAAACCGAATGAAATACCACTTCACACCCACTAGGATGGCTTTAATCAAAACTATGGACAATAACAAGTATTGGCAAGGATGTGGAGAAATTGGAACCCTCATATATTGCTGGTGAGAATGTAAAATGGTGCAGCCACTTTGGAAAAACATTTGGCAGTTTCTCAGAAAGTGAAACCTAGAGTTACCGTATGACCAAGCAATTCCACTTCTAGGTGTGTACCCAAGAAAAATGAAAACATGTTCACATAAAAACTTGTGCATGAATGTTCATAGCAGAATTATTCATAACGGCCAAAAGTGGAAATAATTCAAATGTCCATCCACTGATAAATGAATAAATAAATGTGGCATATCCATACAATAGAATGTACTGAGCCAGAAAAAGGAATGAAATGCTGATAGACAGTACAGCATGGACAAACCTAGAAAACGTTACGGTGAGTAAAAGAAGCCAGTCACAAAAGGACGTATGTTGTATGATTCCATTTATATGAAATGTCCAGAATAGGCAAATTCACAAACACAGAAAGTAGATTAGTGGTTTCCAGGGACTGGGGGGAGGGGGGTTGGGGGAAACTGCCCGTGAGTAGGGAGTTTCTTTGTGGGGTGAGGAAAATGTTATAAAACTGATTGTTGTGAAGCTTATACAATGCTGTGACTATACTAAAAACCATGGAATTGTACACTTAAAAAAGGTGAATTTCATAGGATGTACATTGTATCTCAATAAAAAAGGGGGAAGTATATATAACTTTAATTTTATATCAAAATGTTGGCTGTTTCTAGAAAATTAGTTGGACATTGCTTCTGGCATTTTTTCATTTTATTTGATGTGGTTGAAACATGCTAATTTAGAACATTTTTATTTATGGAAAAGCAAAGGGATATATTTCCTACAGCAAGTATAAAAGTGTCCTTTACATGACAAATTTCAGTTCACTCTTAAAAATGTGTATGGCATTTTGCATTCCACAAATATTTATTTTTACCAGTCCATCTGCTCCTTGTGAGTAATATAGAAAATAAAACCCAGCGTCCAAAGTAAGACTTCTTCACTTTGTCTGGTGTGCTTGATGTCTGCACTTGGGTGAATGGCTGCTCGATTTTCAGGGTTATTGTGCAATTTTTCCATCTGACAGTGGATAAGAGAAGACCCAGAAATAAAAATGAACGGTTATGAATGGCATCAAATCACAAATCCCAGTTACTTGAGGGGAAAGGCTTATTTTAACCATTGGCAACTGTGTTCAATAATTTATCTTTTACCATCTGTCCCTGCCTAGGTGTCACTGATAACACCATTGTGTATTTACATGGGCAAGAAGGTGAACATGGCGATCAGATCAAGTGCCCTCTCTTCACTTATCGCTAACACAACTCTTCCAGGTAGTTGAGGCCTTCCTTCCACCTGGGAAGTGATGGTCCTTTAAACACAATCCCTGGCCACAGAGCAAACCCAGCAAAGTCATTGACTCTTCACTGGCCAAAAGGAATCAACTCCCTCTCCTGAAATTCTGAGGTGAAAGGCCGCTGACTGTCAAGGGTGGCCGTCATGCTGTTTCATTCCTACAGCATTCTAGCTGACAGGGGCCCACAGTGGCACTGCTGGGTAGTGTGCTTCTAAACGAACAAAACCAGGAATGTCTAAATAAATTACTCTTCTTGGATAAACACTGGGGGAAACTCTGGGGGGAGTTGATTTTTATGATCTTGACTGAGTTCATTTTAGGTAAAAATAGGCCTTGATGTGCTCTGGTAAATGACTTAAGAAATCTGCTTCTTACATCAAATGAATGAGAAGCACTCTTCTAGAAGCTTTCAGATAGATATTAAATTTAATTCCTTTTAAAATATCTAATTCTTACCATGAATGTGAAAAGTTTCTTTGTGAAAATTTAATTTTATAAATGTTCCTGCAATGATTAAAAATCCTAGTGAGTGTGAAATGGTATCTCCCTGTGGTTTTGATTTTGGATGCCTAATGATGTTGAACATCTTATTTCTGGATTCTCAATTCTATTCCATTGATCTATGTGTCCATCCTTATGCTAATGCCACACTGTTTTGATTAGTGTAGCTTTGTGACAAGTTTTGAAATCAGGAAGTGTGAGTCCTCTGACTTTATTCTTTTTCAAGATTGTTTTGGCTATTCTGGGTTCCTTGCATTTCTTTGTGAATTTTAGGATCAGCTTGTCAATTTCTGCAAAAAAGCCAGCTGGGACTTTGACAGGGGTTGCATTGACTCTGCAGGTCAACTTTGGGAGTACTGCCAACTTAAAAGTCTTAAGTCTTCCAATCCATGAACGTGATATGTTCTTCTACTCAGGTCTTCTTTAATTTCTTTCAATGATGTTTCGTAGTTCTCAGTGTACAACTCTGGCAATTTTTGCAAAGTTTATTCCTAAGTATTTTATTCTTGTGATAAGATTGTAAATGGAGTTGTTTTCTTAATTTCATTTTCATGTTATTCCTTGCTAATATATAGATATACAATTGATTTCTTATGCTGATTTTGTATCATGCAACCTTGTGGAACTTGAGTATTCCTTTTAGTGAGATTCCTTGGAGTTTTCTATACATGAGAGCATGTTATCTGCAAATAAAGATACTTTTATTTCTTTCTTTCCAATCTGGATTTCTCTGTTTTATTATCTTGTCCAGTTGCCTTGGGGAGAACCTCCAGTGCAGTACTGCATGGAAGTAAGAGCAGACGGCTTTGTCTTGTGCCTGATCTTAGATGGAGAGCTCTGAGTCTGTCACCATCAAGTATGATGTGAGCTGTGAGTTTTTATAAACAAGCCCTTCATCAGGTTGAGGAAATTCCTTCTTACCAGTTTGTTCAGTGCTTTCACCACGAAAGAATATTGGATTTTGTCAAATGCTTTTTTCTGAATCTATTGAAATGATTATGTGGTTTTGTTCTTTATTCTTTTAGTATGGCATATTGCGTTGTTTGAGTTTTGCGTATCTAACTAACCTTGCATTCCTGGGATAAACTCTACTTGGTCGTGGTATATGATCCTTTTTATACGTTGCTGAATTTGGTTTGTCAATATTTTGCTGAGGACTTTTGCACCTCTATTCATATTGATATAGATTCATCTTGATATTGATCTGTAGTTTTCTTATGCTATCTTTGGCTTTGGTTTGAGCATGACACCGGCCTCATATAATGAGCTGGGAAGTGTGTCCTCCTCTTCTGTTTTCTGAAAGTGTTTGTATCTTAAACATTTGGTAGAATCTGCCAGCAAAGTCACCTGGTCCTGGGCTTTTCTTTGTGATGTTTTTTTCATTAGTAATTCAATCTGTTTATTTATTATAGGTCTATTTAGATGATTCTATTAATTATCTATCTCATATTGAATCAGTTTCAGTAGTTTACGTCCTTCTAGGAATTTGTCCATTTCATCTTGATTATCTAAGTTGTTGATTTCCAGCTGTTCATAGTATTCCCTTATAATCTTTCTATTTCTGTAGAGTGGGTAGCAACAGTCCTTCTTTTAGTCAAGGTTTTAATTGAGTGTTCTTTTTTTTCTTGGTTGGTCTAGCTAAAAGTTTGTCAATTTTGTTGATCTTGTCAAAGAACCAACTTTTGTTTCCACTGATTTTCTCTATTGATTTTCTCTTCTCTGTTTCATTTGTTTGTACTCTAATCTTTATTATTTCCTTCCTTCTGCTTGTTTTGGGTTTGGCTTGCTCTTCTTTTTCTATTTTCTAAGGTTCAGTTACTGATTTGAGATCTCTCTTCTTTTTTAGTGTAAGAACTTACAGCTATAAATTTCCTCTCTAAACACTGCTTTCACTGTATCCTATAGGTTTTGGAATGTTGTGTTTTCATTTTCATTCATCTCAAAGTATTTTCTAACTTTCCTTGTGATTTCTTCTTTGACCCATTGGTTATTTAGGAGTGTGTAATTTCCACATATTAGTGAATTTCCCAAATTTCCTTCTGTTATTAATTTCTAATTTTGTCCCATTTGATCAGAGAATATACTGTGTACAATTTCAATCCTTTTAACCTTATTTAGACTAAACTTATTAGACTATCTATTATGGCCTATCCTGGAGAATATTCCATGTGCACTTGAGAAGAATTGTGTTCTGCTGTTTTTGGGTGGAGAGTTCTGTGGATGACTGTTAGGTCTAGTTGATTTATGGTGTGTTCCATACTTCT